TTTTTAAACAACTAAAGTTTGGTCATAATAATTATATATATATTTTTTTTTTTAGGTTCCTTTGTACTCATAGTATCTTGCACTTATTAAGCAATCCATAATATACGGTGATTGATATATGGAACATCACTACTGTTTTTTAAACAACTAAAGTTTGGTCATAATAATTAGATCCTATTAATGTGGTATGTTATAAGTATATCAAATTTTATATAGCCTGCTTAAGACTACTGATGTGTGAGAAAGCCCTGGAAAAAAGCTAGGAAACGAAGACCACATAAAAGTCTCGATTTGATCTTCTACACACCAGAAATAAATTTTCTTTCATTTTCACAACCCTGCAAGACTCCACAAGGCCTCTTGTCTGCTGATTTCACCAACTGCATCGTTTTTTCCCTTGGTTAGCTGTATGGAAGAGAATGCCCAAAGAACCCAAGAGACAAAAGAGGAATAAAGCGGAAAATAATGGATTTACAAAGTCAAACTTTCAGCCATGAAGCTCGTAAGACTTCCTAATAACAAACTACACAGAAACCCAAAGAAGCATCGAAAGGTATCATTATCTAGTACATCAGTACAGTACTAGGACCCCAACATTCCCATTTATAATTTGACTGCTAAAAGGCAACTCTTTTTTTGAACTACACGTGATATACGGAGATATATGCTCTCATCTTATTATTCAAAGAACATCTAAATAAACAATACCATATCCAAATGGTAATTCTACTTCTCAACTGCATAATGAAAAGAACACCATGATCAACTTTAGCCTCCTCACCTACCCTCTTATCTTCTATCATGAGACTCTTCATAATCACACACTTGAACTTCAGGGCACAATTACTCAAGACAAGTGTCCCTGCAGAATATGAAACTACCTTAGCCAGTTTCACTAACTATAAAGTATGGGACCTGCCAAACTACCGTCAAAGCTTTCACCATCTTAAATAAGATTACAACAATACTAAAGAGTGATCAGCATAAAATGTGGGCTCTCAGTAGACAAGTTTATTACTTTTACTTTAGTATCTGCAAAACCTTAGCTAGACTGGAACTCGTTATATCAACACATTTCACTATGAGTAAGGAGCCTCTTTTTAAAAAGTGAAGCCCAAAATCAGCTTCTCAGAACAAAATCATGGAGTCAAAGAGTTCATTATCACACCCATAGTATGCTGCTCCACAGTTTGTCAGCTATGGCACAAGCTATAAGCCTAGCTGTTCGAAGCAGTATTTCTGGTTTCTTATCACAACATCATACCAGCAGTGGCCTTGATGATACTTGGTGACAACTGTTTTCATTTCTAAACACAAGGCACAAAAACATACTGTGTATTAGGGTAACTCTTCATATCTATAATAATTCTTAACATTTACAAATATGTGCTTAATACGCATTTCTAAGTTCATAGTTTAGTTGCCTGTTCCCTAATAAGCCCTCACATTTCTCGGTCAGGTTCAGTGGATCTCCCTAACCGTGCACAGTGAAACATCAAAGATTTTATTTGAGAAACCACTATACACCTATGCTTTAACTATCCAACAAGGACACAATGTGATAACAAGCAGCCAATATATCTACCTTTGGCAAAGAACCAGACAAATATGAATGATTTTTCCCTAGGGTGTGCCTTTAATCTGAGAATGTTATTAACAATTTTCCTATAAAAGTTGGGCTTCTGAAAATGTGAACACTGAGAAGATATTTGATATAAAAGAACTGTTCACTTTTTAGGAGTGATAATGGTATTGTGGGGTTTTGAGACATTATAATTTAGAGACACACAGAAATGTTTACAAATGAGATCGTGTCACACAGGGCGCGGGGTGACTGCAGAAGAAAACTATAGAAGAAGCAAAATTAGACATGACTTGGTAGTTGTTGAACTGAACCTGGTGTTGGATGTACAGGGTTTATATCACTGTTTGGTCTACTTCCATGTATGTTCACATTCTTCTATAAAATTCTAAATAAACTTTTTTAGAAATTAGACTTTCTATATCTATGCACAGATATGTACATGATATTTAAATAGAAAGGTGATATAATATTCATCTGACCAAAGTAACAGGGGTTTTAAATGTAGATAAGCGGCAGAAAAACTAATTACAGCAAGGAAAGAAATGGTACTAATGATACATTTTGAACTTGGTCTTCTTTAAAAACTGACGATTTTTAAGCTTGAAAAAACTAGAATGGACACATTTTCTCTCAAAAGCCAAATGCACATATAGATATAAATACATCACAAGCCCAGTCAAACAGCTACTTACTACAAATAAAACAATCAAAGACAACTGCATGAGCTATATCCCTCTCTCTGCAGACTTTGAGAACGATCACGGGAATCCGAGGGGCCACACAGCAGTACAGGATACCCATGCAGAAAGCAGAACCACTTGTAACCACCTCTTATAAGGACCTCCCTAAGCCAGCTATAGGCAGCAATGGTGAACCAAATTCTCAGGATACGTCCTGCTGTTTCAACTCCTACTTTAGAGCAAGAAAGAGAAACAGGTTACACCTTACAGTTCCCACCCATCTCCGTAAAGTGAAAGCTACACTTAGAATTACCCTGAGTGATAACCCTGAACACTCAAAAATTTTAGCTAATTCTGCACCAAAAGGGAACTGATTCAGTCACTAACACCAAACTCTATGATGACCACCAATAACACCATCACCCTCCCTTCCTCCCCAACCACTGGCCAACAACCATCACCGCAACCCCAACCAAAAGCAGTTCACAGAAAAGAACACTGACAGGAAAAACGCCTTTTGAAAAATTACTTCAACCTGACATTCAAACACACAGAACCAGCAATCTAAACCTGCACAGTTACTGTATGTGAGATTTAAGCTTTCATTAACAAAGCTTGCAAGTGCACATCTGAAACAATACCACAATAACAGCAAAAAAATCAAAAGGAAAGAGAAAAGTTTCCTTCAGGAACCTCAAATCATCGCATCAGATACATGAAAAGCTAAAAACAACTCACACCTTGGTTCTGTACTTAAGACAACTGGACCAACTCTACAAACCCTAAAGCCTTCTGTGTGCAGTGTGTGATTTGGGGGTGGGGACAGGGAGGTAGGGGGGTGGGGAAGGAAAGGAGGCGGTTAGATTTATAGAGGCCAATGACCAATCCTAGCACCAAACCAGATGCGTCCAGGCAAAGGTACTTTCCAGTGACCCCGGACAGTCTCCCTGAAGCCCCCTCCTCCCAACAATCCCCTCCCCAGGAGCTTCTGGGCCAGCAGGAAAATGAATGCTGCCTGCAGGTGCCTAAGGGATACAGACACAGACACAGACACAGACACACACACACACACACACACACACAGCCAATCACTTAGGAAAAAAAACCACACACACACACAAAAAGGAAAGGGACAATTGGTGACAAGCCCTTCAGCAACCAGCTAGGGTTTTATTCTTTGCTTTCACCAGTCCTCCCTGGTGTACCTTTTTCTGTCCTTCAACTAAATTACTCATGGACACACACATGCATGTGTACAGATAATATTATAATCAACCTTTTCTGTAATAGAGCCTCATTCAGAATACAGAAAGATATTCCATCCTTTCCTGTTCTCTCCCCTCCTCCCTCTTATCCAGGAGAAAACGCCCCCTTCCCCAGCTTCGCCAAAAAAAAAAAAAAAAAA